ATGAACAGATGGGACTGCACAGTTTACAGCAGAGGTGACGTGCCACATTTTTTGTTGTTCTAGAATATTCGCAACTGTTCAGGCAGTCTTCGGATAATGTTTCGAAAATAGTGTGTGCTGTTTCCTTAGCCGTCTGATATGACAACCTGTACTCATATGAATAACGTTACGGGCAGATATAAGGTAATTTGGGGTTTGGTGATTTCAGCATGTGACAGGCGCGTCTCTTGTCGCGTGCTGCACAGTTGCTGCTGTCAGAACATATATAGCTTATGCTGTTGTGTAGGCTATAGTGGGGTATCCCATACGGGGTACAACCCAATTAGGGTTTTCTATATGTACTCACCTCATTCATAGTTCATCCATCCTCGTTCTTCATTCTTCTCATGGTATCGAGCAGGTTCCCTCGTGGGAACTGTTCCTAGGGCCCACCGTTTTTTTTTCCTGCCCGGAGCGCACTCTGCCCCTACCCGAGTCGCGCTCCCCTCTCTCTTGGCCCCTAGTGGCCCCTTTAGCCGCCCGTCACGGCCCTTAGACGCCCGCGCGCCGCCCGTCCCGGCCCCTTAGACGCCCGCGCGCCGCCCGGCCCGGCCCCTAGACGCCCGCGGCCCCCTAGACGCCCGCGCGCCGCCCGTCCCGGCCCCTAGACGCCCGCGCGCCGCCCGTCCCGGCCCCTAGACGCCCGCGCGCCGCCCGTCCCGGCCCCTAGACGCCCGCGCGCCGCCCGTCCCGGCCCCTCGACGCCCGCGCGCCGCCCGTCCCGGCCCCTCGACGCCCGCGCGCCGCCCGTCCCGGCCCCTCGCCGCCCGTGAGCCGCCCGTCCCGGCCCCTAGACGCCCGCGCGCCGCCCGTCCCGGCCCCTAGACGCCCGCGCGCCGCCCGTCCCGGCCCCTCGACGCCCACGCGCCGCCCGTCCCGGCCCCTAGACGCCCGCGCGCCACCCGGCCCGACCCCTAGACGCCCGCGCGCCGCCCGTCCCGGCCCCTCGACGCCCGCGCGCCGCCCGTCCCGGCCCCTCGACGCCCACGCGCCGCCCGTCCCGGCCCCACGCCGCCCGTGAGCCGCCCGTCCCGGCCGCGCACCGCAGTCCCGGCCCCACGCCGCCCGTGCGCCGCCCGTCCCAGCCGCGCGCCGCCGTCTCGGTCCCCACGCCGCCTGTGCCGCTGAGGAGCTGAGCCGCCCGAGCCGCCCGAGCCGCCCGCACCGCCCGAGCAGCCCGAGCCGTGCTGCCCCTCAGCAGCACAACCGAGCCGCCCGACAGCAGAGCAGCCGAGCCGCCCAGCAGCCGAGCCGCTCAACAGCCGAGCCGCCCAGCAGCCGAGCCGCCCAGCAGCCGTGCCGCCCAGCAGCGGAGCCGCCGAGCCGCCGAGCCGCCCGGCAGCCGAGCCGCCGAGCCGCCGCGCCGCCCTCCTTCCGGGCCGCCCGACCTGTCCAGTCTGGTGAGCACAGCGCCCTTTCACTGCACTGCCCTCACCCTACTGTTTGCGCTGCCAGTCGTCTAGGGTCATGGCTACCCCTAGTGTTCTAGTCTTTGACGCTGAGGGTCGGGCCATTGACTTTGAGGTCTGGGTGGATGACCTGCAGCTGTTCTTACAGTGCGATAGGGCAGATGGTCTCTCTCTCTTTGACCTCACCTCTGGCGCCTCCACTGCCCCTGCTGCTGACGCCGACGCCACTGTTCGCTCTCAGTGGGCCACGCGCGACGCTGCTGCACGTCTTGCTGTGCGTCGTCACCTCCCTACCTCCGAGCGTGCACACTTTAGTCAGTACAAGAGTGCTCAGACCTTGTACGACGCTGTAGTTGCGCGCTACTCCTCCCCTGCCACTGCTACACTGAGCCGTCTCATGCTACCGTACCTCTTTCCTGACCTTGCTGCCTTTCCCACAGTCGCTGACCTCGTTACGCACCTCCGCACTAGTGACACTCGCTACCGCGCTGCACTCCCTGCTGACTTCTGCGCCAAGAACCCCCCCCCCATGTACATCACTCTTTACTACATAGTCACTCGCCTTCCTGACTCCCTTCGCGTAGTCAGGGACCACTTTCTCTCTGTCTGTCCCACCACTCTCACTGTTGACCTCCTCGAGAAGTCCCTCCTAGCGGCCGAGAAGAGCATAGTCGCTGTAGGGGCCTCTCGTGGTGACCCGCGCACCCCCATCTTTGAGGGGTGTTCCCCCTCCCCCCTTCTGCCCTCTGTTGCCTCTGCTGCTGCGGCCGACCTCCTTGGTCTTGAGTCGGTCGGTGTGGCGTCTGCCCCTAGTGGGAGACGCCGCTCTGGCAAGGGCAAGGGGGGCAAGGGCGCTGGAGGAGCGAGCGGGGGCGGTGGAGGTGGAGGTGGCGGCAGTGGGGGGAGTGGGGGTGGCGGTGGGAGTGGAGGTGGGGGTGGAGGAGTCGGTGGCGGCAGTGGAGGCGGAGGTGTCGGCGGCGGTGGCAGTGGGAGCGGGGGTGGCGGAGGTGGCGGCGGCGGAGGCGGAGGTGGAGGCGGCGGCAGTAGCGGAGGCGGCGGAGGCGGAGGAGGCGGCGGGGGTGGAGGTGGTGCTGGTCGCGGGTCTTCGCAGAGGAGTGGCTCCGGTGGTGGCTCGCGCCAGCAGCAGCAGCGTGGTCGTGACACCTTGTCCCCTCAGCAGCTTCGTGAGTGGTACACTGCGCGTCAGCGAGGTGGGGGTTTTGGTCCGTGCTCCTACGTTTTGCGCACCGGCGACCGTGCGGGTGAGCAGTGTGGGGGTCCCCACCCCACTCAGCGCTGCTTTGGCCGCCTGACGGACGCGTGGCGTCACCAGTTCCCGGAGGCCTCAGAGATCCCTCGTTGGGGTGACCTGTCCAGGGCGGGTGTTGCCATCTATGATCTTGACTTTGATGCTATTCTCTCTGCCATGTATGCTGTGTCTATTAGTCGCAACTGTTCAGGCAGTCTTCGGATAATGTTTCGAAAATAGTGTGTGCTGTTTCCTTAGCCGTCTGATATGACAACCTGTACTCATATGAATAACGTTACGGGCAGATATAAGGTAATTTGGGGTTTGGTGATTTCAGCATGTGACAGGCGCGTCTCTTGTCGCGTGCTGCACAGTTGCTGCAACCTGTACTTTCGCAATGCTGCTCTGCTCGATTCTGGAACCTGCGCGAAAGCTGCTGCTGATGGGATCCTTTGTCGCTTTTCAACGTTTTGCTGCACGCGCGACTGTTAGCTGGAGCTTTGAAAACATTTTAACCCCACTTATTTCTACCGTACTTCACTCAACTGTGCGTTGCACCTCTACGTTTCTCGAAATCAGTCATTGTTTCTCCCTAGTACAGTTGTGCAAAAAAAAAAAACGAGGAACAAATCACGAAACGACAAAACGACTGTGGTGCAAGGCATTGTGCTCAACTGGCCCAAGGCAGTCATTTCTTTGCGACAGACAGCCTTCTTGTATTCCCTCCTCTTCCTCTCGATTTGCAGTTAGCCTGCTTTTTTGTGCTCGATGGCTGTTTGGTCATGAGTCTCCTTCTCCTACGATATTGCCATTAAGCGTTTTTTTTCCTTGTTGCTAGATGTGTTCGTGCGCAACAACGACAGTGTGTGAGCCGATGCGAGGGTGTTTGCATATGATTCCGTGAAGTTCGCTGAGAGGTGCGCCGTAAGTTGACTTGTTATTTCGTATTTGTTTGAATCTTACGTATCAAGCATTCTTGCTATTTGTAATGGTCCCTTTGTTACGCTGTGTCTTGCGGTCCTATGCGACGTGCCTGCTCAACGCTTGAAACTGTATTTCCAGTTTTTTTTTTTTTTTTTTTTTTTTTTTTTTTTTTTTTTTTGCGACGGTTCTGATTGCTTTTGCTGTTTCAAGCTATGCCTATTCTCACTCCGTTTTTCGTTTCCCCTTCGCGTTCCCTTTCCGACGTTCCCATTTTTCCTACAGGTCTAATCAGATAGCGTCGCCACGGTTATACTGGTCATCGTCGGAAATTCATGCGGACAATGCTCTCGTGCCTTAGCTCTGCCGCCGAGAGTGGCGGCGAGAGATGCGGATTAGCCGCCGGGAGTAGCGTTGACGGTAGTCTTTCCATGTTATCACATGCCGTCCCCCCAGAATTAATGCCCCTCGCTTCTTGATGCTAGCGCTACTGCTATCAACTGTGACTGCACCATCTCTGGTTTTCTCTCCCATCCTCCAGACTGCCCCCCAAGATTTCTTTCCACCCTGTGCTTTCGGCTTTCTCTCCCAATACAGGGTAACTAAATGACACAGCATTGAAGAGTGTTCAGGTTCCTGTGGGATTCTGGCTGCTTTGGAGAGCCGTCAGGCCGTCTAGTTTTGTTTCTGATTATTTGTAGAATATGATTGATCCTTTTATATTATATAAGAAGTATTGTATAAGAAGTCGACCAAGTAATAGCATATTGCAAAAAGCGAGGTATCCATTTCAAAGTTTCTGGATTGCGCGTTATTACCAACAATACGAATGTGTAAACGGAAATGTTACGACATGCTCACGATGTAACAAGATATCCGCGTAACCAGCCGTCATCAAATTTCTATGCTATTATATGAGCTCCGAAATTGGTGTACATGTAACTAAATTTTGTAGCCTTGTTTACCAGCATCAAATTCGCATGGAAGATTGTCGCAACCAATCAAATTTCGAAAGAGCGAACCAATCACGGCGCGAAAATGTCAATCCAGAAAATGTGCGACCCCAATCGATCCACCATGAGACGCACGCTGATTGGTTTTTCCAGTTCGAAGTTACGATTAAGTATGTCTCTGTTATCGCTAGATAAGCGGCTGAGATTGGGTGTTCAGTTCGAAGTTACGAGAGAGTGTGTTTCCGATAATGCTAGATAAGCGGCTGCGATTGAGCTGGTACCTTTCCAAGAAAATTCTCAACAGCCCATCCCAACCAGGGTTACGGAGAAGTATGTGAGCCACAATCTTTGGGGTAGGTCTTCAAAATCTTACGAGAGAGCTACCGCAATGTAGCCATCCCGTAACTTAGGAAACTCGGACATTTTGGGATGTGTGGCGGCGATAAGCCATCGGTATCATCCCACGTGGACGTCCGCGTCGCTGCTTCTCCCGAGGAGCCTCTCCGATCGGTCTTCAACCGCCTGTTCCACTCGCATCTGCCCGACTGCTGCCTGCCGTGCGATGCACGCCAGGCACCGCGGGGAACCGAGGAGTTTTCGTGCGAAGCAGCGCGCTCGCAGCAGGGAGACAACGATGGCGTGAAAGCCGGTGAGGAAACTGACTCGGTGCGTGGGACGCAGCCGGTACGGTTCATGGTGCTAGGTCAGGTGGTGTACCTCTCGCCTGACTGCACCGTGGCGCAAGCGAAGCTGAAACCGAGTTCGACCATCAGAGTTCTTCCAGTGAAGATCGCCGCTGTGCATCGGGGTGGAGAGGGAAAGAGCAAGGACGGTGGTGAAAGTGGTGTGAGTGCTGCTGCTGCTGCGCCTGCTGCGGACGTGATTCCTACTGTTTCCGCCGCTGCTCCTCCTCCTCCCGCTGACGCGCATGCTGCTTCGGTTCCTGTTGCTGTAGCTACCACTCCGCTACCTCCTCCTACAGTTCTCCCTGCTGCGCCAGCTGCCACACCTGCCGCCGCACCTTCCGCCGCACCTGCCGCCGCATCTGCTCCAGCCGTCACAAGGCCACGTGGGATCGACTACAGCAAGTGGGACCACGTGTGCTCCAGCAGCGACGAGGACGAGGAGGAGAAGGCGGACAAGCATACGGGGCCGCCGAACCGATACACGTCAGGGAGCGGCGCAGGAAGCAGCTTAAAGCCGCCGAACAGAGACACGGCAGGGAGCAGCGCCGGAACAAAGGCAAAGCCCCCGAATCGTGTGGGGACCTATGGGGCCGGCCTTTCGGCACTCAAGGAGGTGATTTGGCATGCGAATCAGGAGGCGATGACACGATACGGCTTCCCAGAGCTGTCTGTCGGAGTCTACAAGGCCTCTGCTGCAGAAGCCAGGGGTTCGGGGAGAGTGGGAGGACAGGGAGTACCGGGGAAGCTTGAGCTGGTGAGTCGGGAGGACATGGTTCACTACCTGGACGTGAGGGGCGGGTGGGATCTGAAGGAGTGCGATTGCTGCTTCGACCGTGCGCTGAGCCTGGGAGCAGAGCGTGCTGTCACCATGGAGAGCCTCGCATTCGTGCGATCCCTCCTGCACAAGCGGTTGCCGGACGCCACTCCCTTTGCGCCACCTTCCAGTGGAGTGGAGGAGAGTGTGCTAGAGTACTCCGCAGGGGTGCAGGCGTTTGGGAGACAAGGGGAGCTGGGATCGCCCCATGTGCAGTTCACCTGCAAATATGCTCTCGCGCCATTTGTCTGTGCGGAAGCAATGATTCTCGAGTGGATGGCTGAGCCTCGTGTGGGCGTGCTCATGGACCTGGGGAGGATCAGATCCCGCCTGCCTGCCATTCTTTCTAAAGAAAGTTTAGTTGGGGATTCCCCTTCTGCGTCTGCTGCTTCTGCATCTGCTGCTGCTGCTGCTGCTGCTGCTGCTGCTGCTGCTGCTGCTGCTGCTGCTGCTGCTGCTGCTGCTACTTTTGCCTGCTGCTGGCGTTGCAGCAGCTGCTGGGCTGCCTATCACCGTGCTGTCAGCTTCGCTGCCTTCCTCGCCCTTGTAGCGAGGTGGCCTCGGATCGACACCATATGGAAGGCTCACTTGGATGAATACGATACCGTCTACCCGGTGCTAGCACGCCAGCTGGGGGCGGGCAGGCACGGGCAGGAGGACGGTGTTGCTTCCATGCTGGTGCCAGTGCTGGGGGTGAAGGAGAGTGCCGATTTGAAGGAAGGTTTTGGGTTCTTCGTGCAACATTTGCTGTCAGGCGGGCTGGAGAAGGCGCATGCAGTGGGGAGGGGGGAAGGGGGAGCTGGGGAAAATACTTCTGGGAAGGCGGAGGGGACGGGGAGTGGGGGAGCTGGGAAGAGTGTGGGGCTGATGGGACGGACGGGGCAAACGGGGAAGGCGGGGCAAGCCATGGGTGCTGTGATGCGGATGTTTGAGATTGGGGATTTCAAGGGGCCGGAGGACTGGATGCAGGTGCTGGATGAGTACGGAGTGAACCTGGCAGATGTGGCCGACCTGGGGGCCATGCTAGGCGGTGAAGGTCCGCGGGCCATGGGCATGGCTCAGCATCTTGCCCTGCAGGGAAAGGAATGGGTGAGTAGGAAGGAAGGTGGGGGTGGAAAGGAAGGGGTGGGTGGAAAGGAAGGGGTGGGTGGAAAGGAAGGGGTGGGTGGAAAGGAAGGGGTGGGTGGAAAGGAAGGGGTGGGTGGTGGTGATTTGAAGGGTGAGAAGTGGAGGGAGAATCTGAAGGGGCGTGTGTGGGAGAGGTATGTGGATGGCATGGCTTGGATTCTGGAGCATGGAGGGGGGGAAGGGAGGGAGTTCCGGTGCAGCCACTGCAATGAAGGGGGATGCAGCTACAACGAGAACAACAGCAGCGGCAGCAACAGCTGCAGCAGCAGCAACAACAGTGGCAGCAACAGCTGTGGTAGCAGCGGCAGCAGCGGCAGCGGCGGCAGCAGCAGCAGCAAGAGCAGCTGTGTGAGCAATGTTGTGGAAGGCAGGCATATTCCCAAGGGCATGTATGTGAGTGGCGTGGGTGCCTCTGACTTCGCCCTGGCTGTTGCCTCTGTGTTCTCCAGACCAGAGCATCGCAAGCAGGGAGCAATGTTCTTTGCGGCGTCTCAGAGAGCAACCAGCAGCAACAATGTGCAGGATGCAGCCATTGAGGAGGCCAGGGAGAGGCTTAGAAGGCGGAAACTGACAAATGGGAAGCCAGGGAAAGGGGATAACGAGGGAGGGGAAAGAGGAGGAGGAGTCGAAGCTGCAGCGTCGGCTGCACCGGCAAAAGGACGACCAGCTCCTAGTGTTGCTGCGCTCTCAGCCAGAGCTGGATCTTCTGGTGACAGTAGTGGGTCTACTGGTATCAGCGGGACCAGCAGCACCAGCAGCAGTGGGATGCTCAGTCGTGGCCTCGTGCCTGTCAACACAGACCCCACTATTGGGGTTCTCACGTATCGGGTGGCTTGCATCTTGAAGTGGCTTCGGATCTACGGCTCAGATTTCGTCTCCGCTAAGAGCTGCTTCAAGGACAGCCCACAGGGCAAGGTCCTGCCCATGCGCCACCCACTTCGGGATCTTTCGAGCCTGCTGGTCAGGTTCGGCGCTGTCCTCCCGCCTCTGGACGGAAGCAGCCGCCTTGCGGAGTGGGAGGAGTGCCTCGAGGGAGACGAAGCTGCTGTGACGTTTCCTGATGAGTCCAGTGCCAGATGCTTCGGGCTGGGCCGGATGGATGGTAGTCTGGGTGGCAAGAAGAACAAAGGGCATGTGGCAACGCAGCAGGGGAAACACCCGGAAGCTCCCACCAAAGAAGCGCCTCCGTTTCCGAGCGAGTGCTATCCCATCGTGCGTTGCAAGGCAGATGTGGATTTTATAGTAGAGTTTGCCGGTATGCTTCTGGAGGCGCCGGCATGCGGCCAGTGCAGCAGATGCCTCATCAGGTTCCTTTCCCACGTCCCCTTTGTCACCCTCGTTGCCAACTTCGCCTACCGACCCACCGCCGCTCTTCTCGATTGCTTCCTCTCCGTCTTCCCACCGCACACTGAGATGTTCTGCACCCTTCTCACCTGCCTGGGCATGGACGTTCCGCCCAAAGGGAGCCCCCCTTCTGTCACACAAAGCAGCGTGGTTGCGTTGCTGGAACGGGTGGATCTGCTGCCCATCTCCTTCCTGCTCAACGTCGCGTTTATTTGCCCTACTCCTCTCCTGAAGCAGATTGGGAGTGAGGGGGAGCATTCAAGCGCTAGAGGGGAAAGCAACGGGGCGAAAGGGAAGGCAGGTGGGAAAAGGGCGGGGAAAAGGCCCGGGGAGGTCAGTAAGGCCGGGGAGCACAGCGACGGTGGGGGTGGTGAAGGAGATTCCAGGGTTGTGTGGGAGGAGGTACAGTCGTGGTTCATGTCATTAAACTTTCTGGTTGATGGTGTGGGGGAGGGCGGGGCGGGCTGCAGTGGCAGCCAGTCAAGAGAGGAGGATATGAGTGCACGCTTGAAGGAGGTAACTGAGATGTACCAGTGTGCAATGCAGCCCAGGTTCTGTGAGGACAAGAAGCGGTGGAGTGAAGGAGCCCTCAACACTCGTGGCAGCAGCAGCAGCTCTAGCAAGGGGAAGGGGGAAAGGGGGAAGGAGGCAGCATATCTGAAGGCATGGCCGGGGGGAGTCAATCTGGTGGCATGCCTGCGAGAGATGCTGCTGGGGGAGCCGTGCTACCGCCCTGCCTCTCTTGCTGCCTCTTCCACCCCTGCTGCACCGTCGGCTGCTGCTTTAGGAGACTCTCCCACCGCAACACATTCATCGGTTGCTGCAAGTACTGTCGCTGCACCAAGCGCTGCTGCAGCAGCCGTTTTGAAAGCAAAACCCACTTTAAATGCGGAAGGCTCTGGTCCTGTGCATAGGGGGGGGCGTGTGTGCGGTGCTGAGGGCTGTGGGAGGGTGGAGGGTGGCGGTGTGAAGCTGAGGAGCTGTGGCGGGTGTGGCAAGGTGGCGTATTGCAGCAGAGTGTGCCAAAAGGCGCACTGGCCCTCCCACAAGCTCACATGCCCCGGCAGGACCAGCGGGAAGAAGAGTGGGACGACCAGTGGCAAGGTCAGTGGGAATGTGAGTGGCAAATGAAGTGGGAATGTGAGCGGGAATGGGTTTAGGAAATGTGTGTGGGCGAATGTGAGTGCGAATGTGAGTGGGAATGTGAGTGGGAATGTGAGTGGGAATGAGAGCGGCAAGGTGAGTGGGAAAGTGAGCGGAAGTGAGTAGCAAGGTGAGTGGGAATGTGAGTAGCAGAAATTCCAGCAAGGTTGTTTGCAAGCTGAAAGGTAGAGTGGGTGGTTTGCGAGTGGGGAGGATATATTAGACTCCTGCTGCAAGAATTGGTGTTGAGTCTGACTTCTGTGGTGCAGGCTCTGTAGCTGAAGCGTTGCTTGGTGTCTTTAGCTGTATTTAAAGTGCTGCGTCGTGTCTTCTGCTGTAGTTGCTGTTTCCTGCTGGGGAATCGTTGCTATGACTTGTTCCTCTTCCCCCGGCCTTGTTTCACCACCTCCCCCTTTTTTCCCGTGCCTACCCCTTCGTTCACTAACTCTCCCACTCTTGCTCTGGACAGGCCTGAAGCACTCAATGCATGCCAGTAGATACGGCACTCACCCGGGGCCCCCTGCCTTGTTCACCACTTCCCACTGTTGCTTTGGACAGGTCTGAAGCACTCAATGCGTGCAAGTAGGTACGGTACTCATGCGGGGCCTTCAGTTGTTCATACCGTGGCATCTTGCTGGTGGCGTGCCTGAGTCATTACCCATGATTATCAACGTCCACTTTCCATTGCGAGGTGGATCTATGCTCTAATTGGAGATGTGGTACCTGTGTATTGCCGCCAAATTCGTCCAAACAAAAGCCACCGCACTTGTCTCCCCCTCCTGTCTCCTCCCCTAGTCCCCTCCTCCCAACCTTCCGCCTTCCCCCTTTGCTTCTGGTGACGCGGTGCTCTTTAATACTTCTGGACACAGTGAAATAAGGTTCAATAAAAATATTGTTTCTTAATGATGAGGTGTCATGTGTTATGCTGCTCTGATTCCAGTATGTTTTCCTGTAAAAAAGGTCTTCATTTTTTATCTGGGAAATGTTGTACCGTAATACCCCGGATATAGGCGCATATGCGCTTATAATAAATCCATTTTTTTCAGGGCCGGTGCTTGTAATTGAGGAATGGCCATAAGCGCCGGCGCTTTTATAATGGCAAAAATGAATTTCGTATTTTTTTCAGGGCCGGTGCTTGTAATTGAGGAATGGCCATAAGCGCCGGCGCTTTTATAATGGCGCCGTATTAAATTGAAGCCCTTAATAAGGCGAACATGCATGAAATCCCGCCGAAAACTGCCGCGCTTCGCTTTCCGACCGCACAAAGCCCGTCCAGGAGCAACGCACCTGCCAGCGCTGACGTGAAACTTGCCGTGCGGCCCAATCAGGCTGTCATGCGCTGGCAGGCAGCTACATTCCACCCGAACCATCGAGAAGGTGGTGGAATGCACTGCCAGCGCAGCAGGTTCGTGCCGCGATCCCCTCCTCTCCGGGTTCAGGCAGGGGGGACCCGTCTCTCCCCGACGAGGACCCCGAGCCGCTAAACAGAAGGGGTCCCTTTGAATCTCTCATTTCTTCTCCCATTCTCTCAGTTTCTTGTTCAGTTTCTTGCTCTCTCCCGCCTGGCTGCGGAAGCCATGGCGGAATTCAGCGCACACACTTCTTGTTCAAGAAAAAACCTACGCGACGGCCCGCGTTTAGAGTAGACGCTGACGGGTGGTACTCACGTATCCCGCCAGAACCACCAGAGCCACCACAGCCTCCTGCGCCTCCTGCGCCGCCGGCTCCTCCTTCGCCTCCTGCACCTCCTGCGCCTCCTGTTCCTCCGTCTCATCAGTGTCCGGTGTCTCCGCTACACACTGGCAATCAGCCCGTGCTCACGCTGCTGCTCCCATCGGCGTTTGACGAATACCTCGACAAACCGGATTCTAACAGGGCCCCAGATGAGTACGTGGACGAGGAGTACGTGCCGGCAGCACGTTGGGGACAGCCCGACGATTGCCCTTGGGACGAATCTGCAATCGGCGCTGACGACGATGTGGCTGACGCTGAGGACGCGAGTCGCGCTGATGGCACCGAGGGTGGCACGGGGGCTACCGCCGAGGGCGGCACCGCTGAGGATGTTTTTCCAGAAGGTGTTGCGGGCGGCGATGATGATGACGGCGCGACGGGCTACCCGAGGAACTGCCTATACCATCCTATCCTCCGATTAATCGCAAGCGACCCCACCCCTCTTCACAGAACCGTGATGCCCGCCCCCCCTCTCCCAGGCACAAGGTCACCGACCACAAGCGTCAGGGTTATATCGCCGCGGAGAAACTGAAGTGGGTTGCGATGCTTGATGTGGCGGTGTCGGTGCGCGCCTTGGCTCGCCAGAGTGGAATCCACCGCAAATGCCTCACCAACTGGAAGCGGGCGGCGGAATTCCTCAAGGAGGTTCACTCCGCTCGGAAGCGCATGCACGGCCGCGGGCGATCGTCGTGCTACCGGCCGATGGAGCTGAAGGTGTACGGGAAGCTCCTCGACTGGCGCCGCAAGGGAACCGCCGTGTCCGTCGGCCGCTTGCAGGAGTGGTCGCGGGAGTTCATGAAGCTTCTGTACCCCGACGTGAAGTGGAAAGGAAGCCAGAGGTGGTCGGAGCGCTTTCGGCGGCGATGGAATCTGAGCGTGCGCATGAAGACAAGGGTTGCCCAGAAAACCGCCGCGCGTAAGAATTACGCCGTGTACTTTGCCACGTGGTGTTTCTTTATTTGCACTAACACCTTCCGTCTGTGTCCATCCTCTCTTCCACCACCGTACAGATGTCGCTGAGCAGTGCAAGAGCTTTTGGCAGTTCGTCCGTGCCAAGCGTCGCGAGCGCGGCATCGAGACCACGTGGATCATCAACGCTGACCAGACGCCGCTCTGGCTGGAGATGCTCGCCACCACCACCGTGGAGGAAACGGGTGTTCGCTCGGTGCCTATCAGGAGCGCGGGGTATCAGAAGCAGCGAATGACCGTGATGTTGGCGTGCACGGCGGACGGAGTGAAGCTCAAGCCGTGGGTGTTCTTCAAGCGCAAGACGTTGCCGAAGGGCGATTTCCCGGCCGGTAAGTGATGAGGTCTTGTTGACGTTCGACCCGTTTTTTTATGAGTACGAATTCTAACTAATGATGCTTCGTGCAGATGTGGTCGTGGCTTGCCACGAGAACGGGTGGATGGACTCCGAGGGCGTCATCCGCTGGCTTGAGGAGTGCGTCAAGCCTTTCTTGAAGCTGCGGTTCGGTCGGCACGCGAAGAGGTCAATGGTGGTGCTCGATTCTTATCGCGGTCACCTCACCGAAGGGGTGAAGGAGAAACTCCGCGAGATGAACTGCGTGCCGGCAATCATCCCGTCGGGCTGTACGCCGGAGGTACAGCCGCTCGACGTCTCCATCAACAAGAGTTTTAAGGCTTCGGTCCGCCAGCAGTACCAGAGATGGTTTGAGGCAGAGGGGCAAGAGCAGCTGACGGCAGCAGGTATGGCAGGATAAGAGTATCGTTTGTTGTACCCCTCCTACCGGTAAATAACCTTGTTGTTGCACTAACGGCTTTCCACCGTTCCCCCGTATTGTTTCAGGGACCATCAAGAAGCCTCCACCCGAGGTCGTCCTGAGGTGGATATCTCAGGCCTGGAAGGCAGTGCCGGCCGACCTTATCAAGCGCGCCTTCCTCATCTGTGGCATCAGCAACGCGCTTGACGGCAGTGAGGACGGACTCGCCATGGCGCACAGGCGGAGCCAGCTGACAGCGGAAGTGGATGTCGATGATGACATCATCGCTGATGGATTTTTTGGCAACAACTGCCAGGGGCCCGAATCTGACGAGGAGTAGCAGGGGTACTGGAAGATCTTTGTTAGGAGGTCTAGGATAATATGAGGTTGTAGTTGCTATGAAAATGTTACATTCTAGTGATTTGTTTGTAATGCCTTCAAGGGATGCGCTTATAATAAAGACATGCACAACAGGGGGTGCGCTTATAATCGAGTTCCGGCCATAAGCACCATGCTCCAGATAGAGGCGCCAGCGCCTATAATCAAACGGCGCCTATATCCGGGGTGATACGGTAAGCATCACACGTATACATATTGTACACTAAATGGCCATGCAACTATAGCAAGTCATTTCTAATCTTTGACAAACTAAGCTCTCAGGGAGAGCCATAATAACTAAGGGAGTGCACACCTCGGGGAACACTCTCAATAGGCATTAAAATGAACCCTAGTGTGTAAGGGCACCTGCTGTATTTCACCCTGAGAGTGTAACTGCGGTTGTGGCTCCTAAAGCATGGCATTCAGAACCCGAATCTCCGTGTCCAAGCTTCTGCCAGATCCCGCCACAATCCTTTTATCGTGCACCTCTGCATCCACCTGCAGTGCGGCACTCGACTCCTCCCTCCCCGCCACCTCGTTCCGCACAGCCAGCAGCTCATTTGCAATGTCTCCCATGCTCGGCCGGCTTGCTGTTCGCTCCCCCGTGCACCGCAGTGCCAGCTCGGTCACTCGCAGCACAACATCCTCAGGTGCTTCCATGGAGGGGTCCTTGAGGTCACCTTTGGTGTCCCCAGCCATGCAGGCATGCACCTGAATCATGGCAAGGGGTTGGGAAAGAGTGAGAGGCCAGACACTTAACGACTTCCTCAAGAGCTTCCGAGGAGGTATTGTTGAGGTCGCCCTCGGTGCCCGCAGCCATGCAGGCGTGCACTAGCATGGCAGGGGGGTCGAAAAAGAGTGAAAGGCCCCAAGCAGCACAGCATCCTCTGGAGCTTCCATGGAGGGATCCTTGAGGTCGCCTTTGGTGTCCCCAGCCATGCAGGCATGCACCTGAATCATGGCAAGGGGATGGGAAAGAGTGAGAGGCCAGACGCATAACCGCTTCCTCCGGAGCTTTCAAGGAGGTATCCTTGAGGTCGCCTTTGGTGCTCGCAGCCATGCTGGCGTTCACCTAGCATGGCAGGGGGTTGGGAAAGAGTGAGCGGCATCCATGCTTGCCTTTCCAGCAAATGGTCAACTGAATTTAAGTAGTGAGTCCAGTCAATTATAAGAATAATGCAAGCTCTTGTGAACTAGTGGGCATACGATTGAATCTGAATTTGCTTTTGAATTTTCTGTAGAGAATATTTAACTTACCCACTCGAGGATGTGGGTGGGCCTCCCTTGAATGTCAAAGGACGTCGGGCGGCCGGAGAGAACCACAAGAATGAGCACTCCGAAGCTGCATAAGAGGAGGCAAAGGACCATGTTTATCCAAATACGCTGCATACCATGCATATGCCAATAGCTATGAAATGCACTGACCCACGGCTGAACCAGAAACATGTTTCAAACCTAGCACAAAGTAACAAGTGATGGCTGCCAAAAGAAAAAGAGCAAGGGGACAAGCGAAGACACGAACAGGGCATGGCTCCTGATTGAGGCGCCTCAGGAAATACACATAAAAGCGCTTGGTCCCTTGGCTGCATGTGTATGCATGCATGCCACATCATACAACATGGTGCTTGCTACCCACAACCCATGGAGTGGAGTGGAGCATGGCAACTGGACATATCAGTAGTAATGGTGACTTTCAACTTACAAGTTGATGCAAACAGTGTTCTTGTACGTTCGAGTCGACCGGAAAAGCCACTCACCTGTACACATCGGTGGCGGTGGTGGCCTTGGAGGTTTTCGAGTAGACGGGGTCCACATAGCTCGGCGTGCCCATCACTTGAGTCGTGCCCACAGTGATGCCCTCCCCTACCCTCAAAACCCAAAGTCGGCTATCTCGGCCTGGCAGATGGCGACAACCACTCACCTGTACACATCAGTGGCGGTGGTGACACTTGACATTTGAGTCGAATAGAAAGTCACCCCTCACCTGTACACATCAGTGGCGGTGGTGGCCTTGGACGTTTTCGAGTAGACGGGGTCCACATAGCCTGGTGTGCCCATCACTCGAGTGGACCCCACTCTCGTGCCCTCCTCAATCCGCGCCAGCCCAAAATCAGCTACCTTCGCCTGCAGAACGCAATGTGATATTCAAGATGCGACGTCATATTGAAGATGCGAGGTCATATTGAAGATGCGATGTCATCTTGAAGACGTGAGGTCATAATCAAGATGCAAGGTCATATTCAAGATGCGAGGTGATATTCAAGATGCGAGGTCATACTCAAGATGCAAGGTCATATTCAAGATGCGAGGTGATATTCAAGATGCGAGGTGATATTCAAGATGCGAGGTGATATTCAAGATGCGAGGTGATATTCAAGATGCAAGGTCATATTCAAGATGCGAGGTCATATTCAAGATGCGAGGTCATATTCAAGATGCGAGGTCATATTCAAAATGAGAGGCCTGTTATCGAATGTACAATTGTTGAAATACTACTGCCATGGTTCTGTTGAAGCAAGTTTCTGGTTGGAATTCGGCACACAAACTCCATTCTTTTGTCTCTCAGCACAGTACATCAAGCATGGTGATTAACCACTTTCTAATGTAGAGCACCGTGCCTAACCGCACAAGACGCATTGTGAACGAAGCCTTGAGATGCACCTACAAGCTTGCCTGCGCCTCAATTCTCCAAAACGTTTGAATAATGCTAAAAACAGCGCACTGGAGCGCGCTTGCCTGCATGTCAAGGGTGAGGAGAATGTTGGCGGGCTTGATGTCGCGATGCACGATGCCAAAGCTACGCAGATACTCCAGCCCACGTGCGGCTCCTGTCAGAATGCCCAGCCGCTACTCCAGAGTCAGCCGGAAAGGCGCCTCTGCGGACATCAGGGAAGCATCAGAAGACGCAATGTGAGTGAATCCCAGATGGAGTAGTTTTGGGACCACTTTTGAGGCGCCTCAGAGGTCATATTCGCTACCCACAAGATGTTTCGAGACAACTCAGGGAGGGGCCACTGCAGAAACAAGAGCAGCCGTGGCAGCATGCATCTGAAGACTCTGCACATGGGGATGTGGAACATGGTGGAACATGGTGGAACATGGAGGAACATGGTGGTGTCAGAATGAGTGAAGTGGTTGAACTAGAAAGAATGAGAGTACAAGTACCAAACCCTAGAGCAATGTACCCCCTAGAGGCTAACCCACTGTAGCCTACAAAACTATAACACATATAATGTTTGACACACCCCCATAGGCTAAGTGGGGGAGAGCAAGGGGTCACAAGACCAGTCAAAGCAAAGCAAAGCAAAGCAAGCTCAGGGTGGATCTCAAGGAACCACACAAATTCCGAGCACAAGCAAGCGGTCACATGACCAGTTCACATGCAGTTTGATAATATAACAAGAGGTACAGTGATCACAACCTAGCAAGTGTAAGCATGCAGGTATATATATAGAGATCACAGTACAAGCAGAGTCAAGAAGTGAGCAAGTGAGGGACAGTAGGCACAAGGCCTAGAACAGTACAGAAACGCTGATGATCACAAGGCTGAAGCGCCTTGGTGAACACATCAGCAGTGTTGGCCCGAGTGGCCACGTAAGCAAGACGAAGCTGACCACGCTGCTGCAGCTCTCGAGCAAGGAAGTAGCGCAGAGCGATGTGCTTCGTTCTGTGCTCCAGTCTGTGCTCCTGACACAAGGCAATGGCGGCCTTGTTGTCGACGTACAGCACTGGAGGAGAACGAGGCCGCTCTCCCAGGTCGGTCAGAAGGTAGGTGAGCCAGCGTAACTCCTGTGCAGCCATGGCTGTGGCGTAGATCTCAGCCTCACAACTGGAGCTGAGAACTGAAGACGAGCGTGTAGAACGCCAAGAAACTGAACCAGAGCCAAGTCTGAAGGTGTAACCCTGAGACGACCGCTGCGTAGCCTGGTCGTCAGCCCAAGAAGCGTCTGAGTGCCCAGTGAGGACAACGTCGCTCCGTCCTCCAAGCACAAGCCCCATGCCCGACGTACTGCACAAGTAGCGCAACACCCTCTTAGCGGCATCCATGTGCTCCTTCCGGTGATGGCCAGGAGCGACAGAGCGTGCTAGGATGCTAAGAGGGTATGCAAGGTCAGGTCGAGTGCAGGTCATCAGGTACATGAGGCAGCCGACAAGCTCTGGATACGGGCCACTCGGCTCTACGGACTCATCCGAAGGCAGAGCTGAGAGCGAGTGACCGGTAGGCAGAGGAGTGGGCTGAGGCGAGGAGTACGTGAAGCGGAAGCGCTGAAGGACCTGCTGCACCATGTGTGACTGAGTCAAGGTGATGGTGCGCTGTGCTCTGTCCCGGGTGATCCGCAAGCCAAGATAGCTTGTCAGCTCACCCAGGTCTGTGCACGTGTGTCTCTTCTGCAGCTCCGACTTCACGTGGGCGAGTGCCTCAGTGTCAGCAGTAGCAAAGACCAAGTCGTCTACGTACACGAGAACGTAGAACGGCGGCAGAGTGGTGTCGGTGCGTAGAAACAGCGACGGGTCAGCAGTAGAAGGAGCAAACCCAAGAGCAGCAAGAGTAGTCCTCAGTGTGTCGTGCCACTCACGGGGTGCCTGGCGGAGACCGTAGATTGGCCGCCGGAGGCTCCACTGGGTACCAGCAGGGAACGACCCAGTGAAGCCAGGTGGGCGGCGCAGCCAGATCTCCTCGTGCAGGCTGCCCTGTAGGAAAGCAGTGCTGAAGTCAAGAGAGTGGAGCTCGTAGTCACGCTGAGCGGCGACGTGCAGCAGAACCCGAAGAGTGGTCATCTTCGGGGTCGGGGAGAAGGTCTGGAAGAAGTCAACTCCCTCTCGCTGACTGAAGCCTCGTGCAACGTAACGCGCCTTGAAGACAGGCGGAGAACCCGGCGGCCGCTTCACCCTGAAAATCCACATGCCACTGACGATGTTCGCCCCAGGTGGGGGAACCTCGTCGACGTAGGTGCCTGTGGACTTCCAGGAAGCCATCTCTGCGTCCATGGCTGTCTGCCACTGAGAGGAGTAGGGACCCTCCATCGCCTCTGCGTAAGAGCGTGGGGTCGGGATGTCTGGTGCATCCGGGTCTCCCTCAGGGGCAATCAGCATGGACACGAGATGAGGTAAAGCAGCGGCAAAGCACTCAAACTCCTCCTGTCTGTCCTCAAGGACGTCCGTGCCAAGAGCACACTCACCCCCGACGGATGGAGGACAGACAGACTCAGACTCAGCAACAAGGCTAGCGGCGTAGTCTAGACGGCAGGCGGCAGCAAAGTCAACAAGCTCAGCGACTAGAGCAGACGCAGCAGAGGACTCAAAGGTAGTGTCAGTAACAACAGTGGCGAGGAAACGCGTGACAGTAGGACTGGCAGCACGAGCAAGGTCTGACGGCGGGTCAGCAACGTCAGGAAGAGAGGACGCAGGAGGAGACGGCAGAGGGACACGCTGAGGAGCAGTGGAAGGACGCAGAGTCATATAGTGAGTGGCAAGTACAGGAGGAGGACGCTGACGCGGAGCACGACGACCAGTGCGGACAGCGCGGACAGACGACTCTGGACGAGACTCAGGTGACTCAGGACGAGACTCAGGCGACGCAGGACGAGACTCAGGCTCACGACGCTCCGTAAGACCTCTAGTCGGCCCAGCGTAGGGAGAAGGACCAGGCAGTGGAGAGGCAAGCGGTAACTGTGACTGCGACTGGACAGGTGGTGGACTCAGTAGGGGAGGAGAAGGACCAGTGGAGGGCGGGAGGCCAAGAACCTGCTGAAGGAGCGGAACGTAGTACGGCCACGGCCGCTCAGCACCTCCTGAACCAGCAGAGACAGCACCAGCACCCTCAGCCACAGGGTCTCCAGCGACAACTCTTGCAGCACCACCAGTAACCCAAGCAGCTCCAGTACCTCCAGCTCCAACCCCCGCAGCAGCTCCAGCACCAGCAGCACCTCCAGCAGCACCAGCACCAGCAGCACCTCCAGCAGCACCACCAGCAGCTCCTGCACCAGCAGCACCAGCTCCAGGGTCCGCAGCACCAGTAGCGGCTCCAACCCCAGGGTCCTCAGTACCAGCAGTAGCTCCAACTCCAGGTTCCGCGGCACCAGCAGCAGCTCCAGCTCTAGGGGCCAAAGCACCAGCAGCGCCACTCCTGAGACTGCAGCGCCGAGCGTACCACTCTCGGAGCCGCTGGGGAGAGGGCGGCTCCCGCCTAGGCGGGGAACCACGAGCACCAGCTCCAGCAGCACCCCTAGCCCCAGAAGCGCCCCTCCTGAGGCTGCAGTACCGCGAGTACCACTCCCGAAGCTGCTGTGAAGAGGGAGCGCCTCCAGGCTTAGTACCCTTAGACTCAGCACTCTCAGGCTCAGCACCCCCAGACTCAGCACCCTCAGGCTCAGCACCCCCAGACTCAG